GAAAATAATTGACATGTAGAAATTTTTAAAAATTAAAAATGCGATTTTGTTTGTTAAATATAATTAAAAAATTGTCAAGTGACTGCTAACCTTAATGTCATACATAGGCCACTTTACTTGCTACTCTAAACGGATAAAAATTATCAAAACAATTTATTAATAAAAATGACGGCAAAGCTGTCATTATTTACATTTACTGAAGCGCGCGTTCCGTTTTAAACTTTAAACAGTTACCAGTAAGGCCGGCTATAAACGAACTAAAACAATAAAATTACCAAATGTCAGTAAGTCAATAAAAACAAAAAATAAAGAAGTGAAACTCAGCGCCACCTGTCATTTTTTTTACCAAGCGCATCAACTAACACATAACACATAAATATAATATACTCAATTTATCTAACCTGTATCTCTGTATATATTTCTGAAATTTGTCTGCGCCCGTCAATATCATTCAGATCAAGAGCAGAGAAAAAAATGTCCGCCGTCGAATTAAACCCACGACCCGTTCGGGTTTCACCCTTGATCAAGGTAAGTTTTACATAATTATCTGTAACAAAATAAATTTATTCATCTCTTATTATTGCTCATTTTTTTATAGAAAATAATTATTAAATTTTAACTTACCTTTTAGGAGAGTGTCGCTGGATATTTAGCGGTTACATAATTATAACCTATTATTTTTATGTTTTTATATTTTATATTATATTATAAGTAATAAGTAATAATTATACTTACTAATAAATAATTTTTTTCAGTTCTCAAGATGGACGTTGCTGACGGCTGGAATAATGTACGGATTGTTTTACCAAAACCGTTTCTCCAAAAAGGAAGCTGCCTTCCAGGAGGTTGAAATGAAGCGCAAGGCTATCAGAGATAAGCAGTTGGCTGAGGAAAAGAAACGTCTTGCTGAAGGTGGCTATTTCCGTTTATTTTGTATTTTTATTATTATTATTATATCGCGTGACAAATGTCAAAAGAGCGTATTACAGAGGTGAGATAGGGTTTTATGTCAAAAGTAAGTTGAAAAATTTTTCTGCCATTGAAAAATCGTTAAAAACGTCAAGGTCAGTATAAAAAAATTATTTGAATTACTAAAATCAAAAAAGCGGATCTGTGTAAGCTAATTATGGCTTAAAGATAAATTTTTTTAAAGCCAAAAGAGCGGAGAATAAAATAGATGTGTTTATTGCAAAAGGTTGAAATATAAAGGTAGATAAAAATAATACTCAAGGTATGAAAATTAACTTGAGATGAAGACACCCAATCGATTAATAAGACAATTAGATATGACTAAAATTATGAAACTGAAATTGAGAGACATTTGACAATTTTTACAAATTTTTTAACTAATAAATTATAGCAAAAAAAATTTATTTAAAAAATTCCATCTTTAGAAACTTTAAAAAATTATAAGTGCAATTTTTTATAAATAATTTTCTAAACCTTATTATTTAAGAAAAACTAGCAATCTTGCAGTCACTATGTGACTTGTGGACTATAAATAAATAAAATTTTGCTTTATTAAATAATGACTTTTGTTAAATTGCACTGTACTTTCTTAACTATTGACGTTTTTAAAGAAATAAGCTCATTTTGATGTTACACTCATCAAGAGCTTTCATTTGAGTACCCACATCAATTTTGCATATATTTATATATATCATATATATGTATATATGAAAAATATATCAAAAATGCATGTGGGTACTCAAATGAAAACTCTTGAT